CACACACACACACACACACACACACACTCTCTCTCTCTCTCTCTCTCTCTCTCTCTCTCTCTCTCTGACACACACACACACACACAGTTTTGGTCACTCCACCCTCACTGGAAATGCCGGCTCATCAGGAGCTGCTTCCTGACCGCTGGTGTACAGTGTGTGTGTGTGTGTGTGTGTGTGTTCTTGTTTTTATATCTTGGTGGGTCCAAATGTACCCACAAGATTAGGAATATTTGACAGATTTGACCTTGGCTGATCCCCACAAGAATAACTGTTTTTTTTTTTTTTTTATTAAACCCCAAAAACTTAAAGCTGTAGCCCTATCATGAATTAGCTGTTTTAATAGTTGTTAGTGGAAGGCCTCACAAAGATAGTAGGAGAAATATGTGTGAGTGTGTGTGTGTGAGAGAGCGAGAGAGAGAGATAGAGAAAAACGCTCCACTGACAAAAATGTAGCCTAAAACTCTGTACTGAATTCATGTGCTGAAGGTGTTAGTTTATGGGGGTTGGTATACGTCACGGGTAAAACACCAGACCTGGGGGACAAGCATCATTTCATTTGGCCCGCATGAACTTGAAAAAAATACTTCTGATAATACTTGTAATACTGAAACGGCCAGTAGTACACATGAAAAAAAAAATCTAAAATATATACAAAATAAAATCGCCATTGTTTTCCTGGTATGTACAATTAAATTGGTAAGTGTGACACACTTGTGCACTTCATTTGGATGTCAGACAACAGTAGGAGCTGTGATCATACTATAGTGTGTCCCAAAAGTTTCCATACATAGGGGACTGTGTACGCCAGCACCACGTCAGTTGTGCCTTCATCAGTGAATGTTCGTGGATGTCCACTTCTAGTCTTGTTGAATTTGTTAATAAGTTTGTTAACAGTGTCGTGTGTGATGTGCTTGCCATGTTTCCTGTGAAAGTTCATCACAACCTTGCAAAAGCTTCCAGATCCAGCCATGAGAATGATTTCAATATGTTATTCTTTTGACAAAGGCATTCTTAAAGGCTATTAAAAAATAATATAAACTAAGTATGAAATATTTTGGAAGACAAAAGTATTAAAAGTGCTAAAAAGTGTTAATTTCCCCTATGTATAGAGACTTTTGGGACACCCTGTAATTTGTTTTTTAATCATTTCAGGCACAATTTACCATCAAACAATCTTTCCATATTAATAATGTTACCATAAAATACCTTTATGACAGTTCCACTGAAAATGACTCAAATAACATGCTAATAATAGAGATAAATTACACCTTATATTATAAGTCCTTATCTTCTTTTCTTTTGCAGTAAACTCGCAGTAGTTGAAGCTACTTTAATATCTCTGTGCTTATAGTGTAGCTATCTGGCTAGTAGTCTTCACACAGAAACAGGAAATATGCATCATCCCAGTTGGCTAATCCTGTTTCTCATCACAGCAGCTGATATCCCATAAAATGTGATTAAACAAATGAATGCATTCATAGTTTTTTTTTTTTAAATAATCTGTATAATAAATGTTATTACAGTTTTTCTGAATTGCTAAAACACGTTTCTTGAAACCATCACTCATTTTCTCAAAACCTTAAACACAAATCCAAATACTCAAACTAAATTCACAAAACCTCTGACTCTTCTGGCAAAATCAAACAATTGCTTCAAAACCATTTCACCAGCACTCAAAATCAAACAATGCTTTCAGATCATACACACATGAGTC